GCGTAAATATTTTCCTTCATGTTCGTCATCGACCGTTACTTTCAACATCGTGCATCCGAATCCCTTCACAAATCACGGGCGATTTAATCGCGAACGCTTCGAAGCGGAGCGCGAAAGGATCGGAAACCGGAATCTCGGTTTTACGAACCGCGGAGTCGGTGTCCTATCGTCGTTAAGCTGCGAAACACTCACTTTGCGTTCGCCACGACCGATGAGATCATCGATGGTAATCGCGACAATACCGTCGCACTTTGAATAAGGGCACCAAGGGACGTAGACCGCAAGACCGTATATGTACGCGAAACGGAGCACGCGACGAAAAATGTTTAAAGCACAAGAGTAAACATCGGACTGGCGAGAGACGACGCCGTGTATGAGACCATGCTGCAGCCACTCTTAATAAGCTGCTTTCACACCGAAAACGAGATGCATCGTGGGGATGCAACGCGCCTGGTTGGTCGGCTTTTGGACCAGACAATTTGCGCCGCCTCGCGAACGCGCGGATGAGATCTTTATTTTATACAGTATAAATTATAAATTATATAAATATACTTATATATACAATTTATAATTTACATACAATAAGGTATAAATTATTAAAATAAATTTTAATTTTTTATGTATTCTGAAACATGCTACAAAAGAAATTTCAAATATACACATGTAAATATCAAGAATTAAAAATGCTTCATATATAAGTATTTCAGAAATAAGAAAAATAAGTTATGGATAATGTATAATTATAAAATATAAATTTGTTTTATAAACTATTTCATGAAAGAAATTTTTTCCCAAATATTTCACAAATAAAAAAATTAAAATGTATCAAGTCTCTTTAAAGAGAAATTTATATTTTATAAATATTTTAATACGCTGTATTTTTTTTTATTTTGTAAAATAAATTTAAATAAAATTTAGTACATTTTTATTCATAATTCAAGAAATCTATATGAAATAATACTTTGTATTTACATGTGTATATATATATCTAAAACTTATATAACTGTTGTAGCAAAAGGAAAAGAACTAAATGCGCCTTTTCGAAGACGATAAGAATATTTTTGAAATCACAGAGAGAGAAAGTATATTTATATAAAGCAAGCAACAGATAGGACACATCATTCCGAAAGCTTATCCTAGGTTCATCTTAGCAACCGTAAACTCGATCAGATTTAGGCAGGTTATTAGCAAGTAATCTCGGCGGGGCGATAATTTCATGAAAGATCGATGGGATATTTATCAGCGGCATTCCCTAGCCTCGGCTTCTCCTCACCTCGGCAATTAATCGTCGTTCCCCGAAATAGCGGCTCTCTCGTCAATATCGTATAATACTGCCAGTTGCTGGTCGACGACCCCCATGCAACCACGTAACCGGTGTATTTCGAGTAAATATCCCAGTTAAATCTCGGTTTATCTTCGCAATTCGCGGCGAATCTATCTTTAAGATAATCCGGAAAGTCGCGCTAAAACGCTATAATTGCAATATGTAGCGAGAATCTGCTCATTTTGCATTATTTGCCACTACTTTCCTAAATAATTTGCACGTGTATCAAGACGACAAACAGACAATTTTTATTGAACTGGATTGTATTGCTTAAAAATAATTGGGAATAATCATAAAAAACATGATGTTTCTGTTATTTATCTCGTATATCATTTACTGATTCAATCATCAGCGAGAAGTAAGCGACATTAATTATTTATTTCACATTATTTTGAAATATAATTCCAAATGTCAGGATTTTTATAAACGTGCGAGAGGAAATGTCGGATAAAAAAAAGAGATGACAATGATAAAAGATGAATGAAAAGAAAGAGATATGCGATTCTTTCTTTTTAGAAAATTTATATCATCCTATACCAATTTTTTTCAAAGGCACAATTTCTAAAAAAAATCTGACTTGTCTTTGTGAATGCCGCTTAATCCGAATTCCGCACAAAGGCAGACGTCCGAAGGAAAGGAACCTGCCGAGACCCGCATCCTCCCTCCAGGCCCGAACCTAATTCATCTTGGAGCCCCGCAGGTCCTGCGCCTATCACCTTGCCTGTCACTAATACGACACTTCTGAGAATTTCAGAAATGACGCATCTGTCATCTGCAGCTTGCTACGTTCTCTACTTGACATCCTCGACGTCCTTCTCTCAAAACGAGAAAATTTCGTGGCACACTGACAAATTTAAGAATGGAAAATTACACTTGTAATTTGTAAGTAATTTGTCAAATGATTTGATGAGATTTTCAACGATTTTTGAAAAGCTATAAATCTGCCTAGAATTTGTTTTCTTTATTTTAATGAAATTATATTAATAAAATATATTTGAATAATTGTAGTTGTAATTATTATGGAATTGTAATATGCTTACATATTTTTTTGCAATATTTTCGAATACGTTCTTAAATTGTTCGACCTGTATTTGATTTTAATAAAATTTTATTTATGTGTGACTCGCGTGTTTTGTTGTAATATAATAAAATGTATTATATAGAAAAAAAACCTTTATTATTAGCATGTTCTTTTTAATTTATTAAGTGAATTAAATTTATTTATGTTCCACTTTTAAAACTAACCAAGTGAAACATTTTGCATCACATGTGTTTGCTACCTAGTTCCACTTCATAAACATGGTTTTATAAAATTAAACCGTAACCGTGAAGAACATATTCAGTTGCTAAAACCCGGCAAGTGGAGTCATATGTGAACAAGATATATAAAAATAATGAGTCTAAGAAAGTGAAAAAAGGAACCATAGAACGGTACCGAGTTTCTTAAGACTTTCAAGGATGGCAAGCATATGCTTATCAAGTAGTGCGAACACTAGAGTCTATTTACGCAACTTTATCGCCCGGCATATATAAAATTCCAAATTAATATAAATAAATAATATTTTATGTTGATTTTATACAGTGCACTACCGACTAAAAGTCAATAAAGAATTTTTTCTTCCATTTTTATCGCATATAGCAAATATATTTCATAACATTCTTAAAGGAAACAGAATTTATGTAATGCAGTTGTATAATAGAAATAGAATATAAACACGATCTCTCTTTCTTTCCCTCTTTGAAAAATTTTTCTAGACGTCAATATTTTTACATTTTTAATATTCAATCGTAAATATATATATATATATATATATATATATATATCGTTGTATAAATCAATTAAATTTAATCCTTAAACAATTAAAAAGTTCTTCATTTATTAAATTAAATGAGAAAATACCTGTAATGGTTTTCAACTTCGCTCTACAGATCTTCGAGCTCCAATAACATAAGCGAAAAACGAGGTATCGTTTCTATATTTCTTATGTAATTATCTCCGGATTATCTTAATGAAATCTTGGGCCTCGGGAAAAATAAAACGCGCGCACAAAACGGTGTCACACCATCGTCACGTAAATTTCGAAAAACGTGATGGAGCGCGGAATTTCGCCGACAACGACAAAAGCGATCTACCGAACGATCGACACGATTCCGCACGAATGAGCTTACTGTTTCTTCAGCGAGGCGTGTGACGCTTCTTCCGATACTCGGACGGGATTCTTGCGATGTATACGCGGGTCGATAGTGCACCTGTGTACAATCATCACCTGAGAAATACCGTTGCGGCCAGACGCCGCGCTGGCAACGACAGCTATGAAAGAGAGTCGATATAACATATGAGATGCCTCTCAGTGGCCAAAATAACCGATCGATTTTATTTTGGGAAATTTTTCATTCTTTACTCTAGAGCATCTGATTGCTCTGGTATTCAAAATTTTATTTTAAAAATGAAGTAAGTTGATCAACTTGGTTTTCTTCTTCGTCACGAGAGATCGAGCGAGATCGTTTTCACGAAAAATTATAATTTCTTTTTAAATCTAACTGTCTAGCATGATGATGAGAAGTTTATACATTGAAAAAAAACATATTGAATTCGAATAAGTATTTATTTCAATACTGCCCCCAAATAAATCATTTATTTGAAACTAATAATATTGGTTTGATGTGAAAATATTTATTTGATGTAAGAAAATCTTTTTCAAAACAAATAATTTGTTTAAAATAAATGATTTATTTGACAGTATTGAAATAAATATTTATCAATTTAATAATTTTTTTCAGTGTACTTTCTCAGTTTCGTGCAGAAAAGAATCACTCTCACGTGCCTCACGCTCGCTCAAACTTTATCCGCAGTTTTATTATGCAATGTATGCATTAGTTATATGATATATTACTACTCCTATTAGTTCGATAAGTCATTAGTTTCGTCATGCACGGAAAAACAAGTTAAATGAGTCGTAAAAATATTAATTGGATATGCTTAATAAATGCGTCGTAAGTCAAAAATAAATCGGAATATTTAATTACATGTAAAAAAATTGCATAAAATCGTTTAATTGATTTCTGGTTGAAAATAGTTACCCTCGAGATATCGAACACTTTAAAAATATCATCATATGTATACCCTTGAATAGATGTACGATATATTTTTAGTTAACTATTTTTTTTATTACAAGATTCTCGTCGATATTAATAAATAAATCGAGAAAATCAGAAATAATCGTGAACTAATCGATATGTTCCACATTATTTCTAAACCTTATGATCCAATATTTTCAGATATCTTAAATCGAAAAAGATAGCAAATGTCTAAATATAGAATGGACCACATATTTAATCCGGTCATTCCGATTATTTTGATAGAAATGATCTAATAATTTATCTTGTTCTTTCGATTAATGTGTTATATATAAAAAAAAAAAGAATTAATGAAAAAATGTCTTAATTAATTTCTCTTTCAAATTAATTTTCTCTGCTTAAGTTAAATTCTTCTTTCTAAATTAATTAACCTTTATTAATTAATTATAATTAATTAATAAATTAACCTTTATTAATTAATTACCTTTATTAATTATTTCTCTCTTTCTCTCTGTCTTTCTCAAAAGTTTTCCGGACTGACTTCCGCTGACATTTCTGAATAATCAATACAATCGATATGTAAATCGTTTCCACGTACCTCATTCGCCTGCTTGCAGGGGGAAGGCACTTTAGCGGAGAGTTCCTTGAAGAGGTCCTCCGAAGTGTTCCTCGCGATCTCGGCCGTTCTTCCGGAATCGTCATCCGCGTCACGTGCGAAATCGGAGGTGATGACGCTTTCCTCGTCGCCGCTGCCCTTCTCTCTCGTCCTCTGTTCGTGCTTCGAGAGCAGCTCGCGCTGCTTCTGGAAGAACTCGGGCTCGCTGAAGCATTTCTCGAGGCTGACGGCGCGCTGGAGGGTTGTTGGCGAGCTTGGGGTCGATCGCGAGAACTCGAGCTCGTCCCGCAGCAAATTTTCCGCGCTCTTGTTGCAAATTCGCGGTGGATCCTGATCGCGGAACGCTCTCCGTTGCCCTTTCGATACCTCGCACATCGTGTGCTAACCAGATAATGCTCTTCGTCGAAAGAAAATTACGCGGTACGCGTTCGACGTCATTTTACACGAACATTTCTCGAACGTATCTGAAGAAATTCACAAATTAATGATACATGCGTTATATGAATTAATAAGGAGAGTCGCGAAATTCGCGTCTCTCTATCAATTATTTTTAAAAAAATTATCACATACATTTATATATTAATATATGTATACATATTTATTTATGTAATATTAATAAATACAAAAATAATTTATATAAAAAATTATATATAATTATTATAGATATATATTTATATAATTTATATTATGTAAAACATATATATATATATATATAAATATTAAGCTTATTTTTTATAAATAATTTATATTTCACGACAAAGAATTTCATTTAGAATCAAGACTAAAAATCTATAATTTTGTACGCCGTGTATATCCTAATATACATATGTATATGTGCGTGTGTATTTTACTTCTTCAGTTAACTTCACGCTTATGACACGACGCGTACATTTATAAAATGGAACTCTGTTCTGTGAATTCGTCGTAAATGTAAATTATAGCTTCGTTGCTGTTTATTAAAGCAATTATGAAACATCGTTCTCTCATTATTGTTACTGTTTATGCAGCGATTATTGGCGAGATTTATCGACGCCGCTTTCTCACGATGCATAATGATAAGCTTACCTCGAAACGATTCGAAACATCGCAGACGTGATATCGGAGTCGCGCATTTCTGGCGAATACAATCGACTCTCCTGTCAAACGCCAAATATATATATTCCAAATATACCTTCCACGAATATCTGTCGACAATGCGCGCGTCACAACTCGCTCGTTCCTCGCGCGCCTAAAAAAACTTTCGACGCGAGCAAAAAGTACCGATTCGCGCTAACGCGAAGTCCTCGTTTCAAGGTTAGGGTTAGGTTAGGCGCGCGTTATCGCGCGCGAACGAGATATAATCGAACGGAGAGAAGTGCAGCGCACATATGCATGTACGTACATACCTGTCGTTTTCCGACGAGATCCCCGCGAAAGGACGAAAGAGAAAGCCGGCCACTCCGTCTGTCACCGGGACGCGACGCGCACAAACACCACCAGACGCCGCGAGACTAGTGGAGGGACAGCCACCCCGCGTGCGTCATGCGGAAGGACATCTGTTGCCCCTTGCCCGCGACACCCCTACTCCATCCGTCTCGCTTTCTCTCTCTCCCTCGCGTACGCGGGATCGTTACCCTCGCACCACGCACGCGTAATGTGACAGGTCCGTCAAGTTGAGAGAGCCGCGGCGTCCTTGCCGATGTCAACACAGAAATTGCACATGTGTATTTCCTGCAAAGAAATTATCATCGTAAAATATATGACACAAAAATAATTTCAGATATCAGATTGAAGGAGTAATTTTCATAGTCTTGTAACATTATTTAATAAAAATGTTCCTGATTTAGTCAACTTTATTAATTCTCTTTTCACTGAAATATAAATTTTTATTTTATTATATAATATATAATAAAATAAGTACAAGTAATTTTATTATATAATATATATATATATATAATAAGTAATATATATGTATATAAAATTAATCTATATATCAACTAATCTATATATATAAAGAGCAATGATGCAATTCCAGGAAAAAGGGCCCCCAAATGTTATTTACGTCACTGATACTTTTGCATCTATCTTTCTCTCTGTCTCCTTCATCCCTTTCCCCCTCCCTTTTACTCTTCTACCTCCCTTTCTCTTTATTACTATCTCCTCTCTTTATCTTTCTCTCTTATCATTCTGTGCTATCTTCCTTCCCCTTTATACCCTCAGTTACGCTTCGCCCCTTTCATCCCCTTATCTATCCAATTCAGGCTCCCTTTCTCCTTGTCATTTTTTTATTTACGCGTTACACCTTTCTTTCTCTTTCCCCGCGCTGCGCTTCCGATCTTCCCTATAAAAAAAAATTGTGGGGTACTCGCTGTGAATTATGTCGGGGGGCGCGTAGGCGAGACGATGATGACGGCGTCGCGACGACGCCTAAAATGCTCATGCGTCAATCGATCCGCGACTTTCGCCAAAGGAAGAATCCTTCAATGCATTTCGCATCTTTATTAATCGCTGAAAATTCTTCCCTCCTCTACATTCATTCATGTCGTTTTTCTTCGAAATTGTCAAATAAAACCATATTCTGTATATATGAATAAAATTATCTCGTTAGAAGTTATAACAATGGCTCATTGTCTTTTACATCGGAATTTTGATAATAATCTTGCAAATTGTCTGTCAGACCCCTACATACTTTATTCCATCTTCTGGACAATCTACATAATGAATTAGCACACACAAACACAATGCATATTTTTATTTCAATATTACTTAAGCACAATTGTTTCTGCAAATTTCATCTTCTTCGAACAACCAAGCGTGTAGAACGATGAATTCTCACGTTAACGATTATAATATTAATTATTATTTAATTGCAAAATATTAAAAATGTATTTTACTTTAATATTACTTTAACTATCGTTCGTTTACAATCAGATTAAATATGTATACACTGTTGTTTTTCATGCTTGTCTAAAAATAATTTAATTTTGAATATATTCTGCAAGATGATTTCTAATAATTATACCTTATTCTTACATTTTTTAAATTTCAAAACATATAATTCAAATACGCTGCAATATATTCCATGCAATTTTATGTCATATATTATGTTACATATTAATATAAAAATAATCTAGTGTGACAACATAACGCAGTAATGACAAATAATATTTTTTAAAAATAATTTCTTAAATTTCAAAGATTTTCTTGAAAATGGCATGTCTGAATTTGCACACACACACACACATGTGTGATTTTATTTTATTATCTATTTACTTCAACATCATATTGATTAATCAAACTCTGAATACTAGTTTTTTCGGTAATAATTCATGTGTTAAAATATTTGTAAAATTATCTACATTACAACACAATTGTACCTGTAAATTTCTTGCGAAGCAATATCTCATATTAAATTAATTCATTAAATGGATTGTTATATTATAGCTTATTTAATGTGCTATTTTTGAAAAGAAATAATAATAAAAGAAAAACCTATGTATTATTTTTAAATATTATATCTAAATTAAATATTATAAAATCTTGAAAATAGTTTCTGCTGTACTATTTTTAACATTAATAAATGAAAAAATATATAATATCAAAATATATACAAAACAGAAAAAATAGTTTTCATGTTAACTAATCTCGAAATTAACATTTCAGAGCATAAATTTCTTGCACTATTCTTAATTCATTTCTGTATAATTATATTTGATTGTGAGAATATTCCTTCTATTCCTGTAAACTGCATGTAAATGTTGAATCAACGTTACGAAGAGCTTTTGATAATGCTTAAATTATAACACACACCTGAGTAAATTTTATATTTTTCCACATAACACTGAATCACAATCATCAATCGCGATTCTTGTGACATTTAATTTAATAAATTTTTCATATTATTTCATATGTTTCTATATAACTAAGAGAATAATATATATATTCAATTTTTATTAACTATACTATGTCACATTTTATTAATTATATAATTTATCATTCTACTTTATATGTAATAACCAAATATCTGTTTCGTATTATTAATACTCTGTCGTATGATAAATTTATAAAAGTATATACGGATATACAATAATTATATGTATAATTTTTTACAAAGCATATATAAAAATAATATCAAAAAATAGTTAGACGAATTGTCATTATCATTCAAAGCAAATTAACGAAGAAGATCATTAAATAACGTATTGGCTTGTAAAAAGAGTTAACGTTAAATAAAAAATTAAAATAAAGAATATTTTTCCTTGTTGTATAAAATATTAGCCGTTAAAGGACATATGTCTTAAGTACAATTTACATGATACTGTTTTACTAGATACTATCATGCTATTTTGAAAGAAAAAAATATTATAAATAATAAAAAAATATTAATATAACTAGTATAACTAATAAAAAAGCATTATGTAAATTATAATTTTAGGATACAATTTATTTCTTGAAATTTGGCGAGAATTTTATTGGCTTGGAAGACAAGACGTGGAAATGTTTCCAACGCAGTAAGAAGGAACGTTGGAAAAAAGCACAATAAGAAGGGACAACCAATGAATTACTTACGGAAAATCGGTGATTGGTTACTCGTCATCTCTTGTCATGCAGGAAGCGTTTTCGTATCCTGTATAAGCTATCCACGTGGCAACCACGTAGAAATCTTCCGCATTTTTGTTTCAGTCCTTGCATGATTCTAACGGCTATCTATAGTCCAGGAAGAATTAAAATTAAAAATTTGTTTATTCGAGAGAGAGAGAGAAAAAAAAGAAGCTATTTTCGTAAGTATAATTTTACACATATATACCTTTCTCTTAAATCTTTAAAATATTTTTAATAGACTTAAGATAAGATTTTTGTGTAGTTTTAATTGTTAGTGTATTTATGTAATTTTGCGCTTTTTACATAAGAAACATATCTTTCAATGCTGTAAGATTGAAACATTAACAATAAGATATACAAGATATGTAAAATTGTAAGATGGTACTAAAAATTGGAATATTATAAGATATGAATCAAGAGAAAAACACGTGACATTTCTTATCTTAATTACAATATTACAATAAGTTTTTTCATGTCCATATAACACACTTTCAATCTGTCAACTTTATATATTTTTTTTTATAGATCATGTCTACATTATGGTGGATCGAAGAACAAAAGGATTATAAATTACCAGATGAGCTCCAGAGTACAGATTATATAACAAGCATCCATAAATATGTGAAGATAAAGCATTTAATCAATATGGCTGCAGAGTGTGTTTTCAATGAAAAAAAACATATACATGCAGTGGCACAGATTTATAATATTCCATACTCAATTCTGCAAGAAAAAATCAGCATCACGGGTCTTTTTGAAACGTATTTGATGAGGAAATTGAAATACGAGGAAGCAGTAAAAAGTGTTTTACTTGAAAAAAAACTTATAACTTTTGCTGCAACAAAATATGACGTTAATTTTGCAATTCTATTGGAAGAAATAGTACGATTTAGTAATTCTGAGCGAAAAATATATAAATTTGACAAATCTATTAATCCTGTTATGGATGTTTTCACATATATTGAGGAATTGATAATGTTGAAAAATGTAGAATTGTGGAAAACAAAAGGTAATCCACTTTGCAGTTGTGAAATTTGTTTCATGGAAAAATTGATGCTTGTGGCTTATGACTTAGCCAAAATAAAAAACTTAAAATATCCTAGTAGATGGGATATTGACAAGAGAGCATCTGTTGGTTGGCTAATAGCTTTCGAAATGACACACAGCGAATTAATTTCAAATTTAGTTTCGCAGAATGAGTGCCTTAGATTTCCAATGTTTAATAATTGTAGAAGTGGAAAGAAGAAATATTCAATGCTTTACGATCCAATCTATGAGCGATATGAAGAATAATATGAAGATGAATATGAAGATGAATGTTATGAATATACTAATAGAAAATGAATTATTACTTTAAATTTTGTGTTTGTTCAATGATAAGAAAATCTGCATGTAAATGTTCTAAATATCAGTATTCATCGTTTTTGTAAATGATTAACATGTCTACAGATTTATGGATGTGCAGACTAAAAGTAATATTTGAAAAAGATTGGCAACCTTTTTTATTAAATATATAAATTTAAATTTGCATTATCTATAATAAAATAATAAATTTAAATTTATATGTTGTTCATTGACGAGATTGTTCATAAGATTAATAAAATATTATATATAATAATAATATAATATTCTATTAACACTCGCATAATTGTAATAATATTATACATTTTAATGGTTGATATAATATTCATCTCTATCAACTTATTATGTATATATTTTTGGATTTTTTTCAAATTACTTAACAAAATGTTTATGTATACTTCAACTTCTATATAATACTATCATAATACTAACCTTTGTTGTTTCTAATATTTTGAATAATAAAATATGTATCAAAAAAAGTACGGATAAAGAGTCTTGATTTAGATATTTACGTTACTCTGTTATATTACTTCAAATTTTTTATTATACATATGTTAAGGTGTCGCCACTTACCTAAACAACTGTGGCGCCATCCAGCGTCGTAATCTGCGAACATTTCACCGACTCTGACTTATCAACGTCGATGAAGTAAAGCGATAACCTATCGTGATAACCAGCGATAACCGGTGTAGAATTTTTAGCTTTACGTTTCACTGCCGTGGAACCTTTCCCTTTCTGTCATTCTTTTAATATCGGGATCCAAGGTATATCTTGAAAGAGACATGATGCAAGCTGGTCTCTGGAACTTAGTGACTACCTCCATCAGGGTAAGTTGCGAATAGTAGATGTCCGATGATCATCTCGATCATATAATCCTGCGAGTAATATTTTTCACTTTGGTTAGAACTCTTTCGTAACATTTTGTTCATCTTTTTCTTTTAATTTATTTGTGAGAAAGCTTCGCAGACTCACGTTTACACTGATCATCTATTTTTCAGTTTCTAAGAATTTAATAAAAACTTGTTAATTTTACCTTATCGCAACATAGATATTTCCACAGATTGATTATGTCATTGCTTTCTCTGATTAGCTTCCATTGTATCTGTCTTCTTAGTTGCACGATATGTGTATTCACACAAATGATGAACTAAAAAATGAAAAAGAAGCATAATAAGAGTATAATTGAATAAAAATATAATAATAACAGGTTGACAGATGACTTTAAATATCATCATTTATGTTATTCACACTTATCCACTTTCATTTCACTCTCTTTTCACAAAACAGTTTTTTTACATCAGCAAATGTATCTATAATATCATTTTTATTTTATCAATAGCCAACATGCATAAAGCGTGTTCTCCCAGGCATGACAGCTGCCCAACAGCGCAGGTATGCGAGTACAATCGATGCAGATGTTGTGGTGATCGGAGCTGGTCCTGGTGGATATGTAGCAGCGATTAAAGCTGCACAATTAGGCATGAAGACGGTATGCGTAGAAAAAGGTCCTACTCTAGGAGGCACGTGTCTTAATGTTGGTTGCATTCCGTCAAAATCCCTTCTAAACAATTCACATTATTATCATATGGCGCACAGTGGAGATTTAGCAAACCGTGGAGTTGTTGGTACGTAATTGAAATAGATATCTTTTATTACATTAATTAAATCGTAATAGTATTGCTAAATTTTGATGATGTTCTTGCAGTATCAGATGTTCAACTCAATCTTAGCAAACTCATGGAACAGAAATCAAATGTAGTCAAGGCCTTGACCGGTGGTATAGCAGGCCTATTTAAGAAAAATAAAATCGAATGGGTCAATGGCCATGGAAAGATTACTGGCAAGAATCAAGTCACTGCCTTAAAATCTGACGGATCAGTAGAATCGACGATCAATACTAAGAATATTCTGATAGCGACCGGTAGCGAAGTTACGCCTTTTTCCGGTATCGAAATCGACGAGAAACAAATCGTGTCCTCGACGGGCGCGTTGTCGCTTAGCGAAGTTCCCAAGAGACTCATTGTCATCGGGGCTGGAGTTATTGGACTGGAATTGGGCTCGGTCTGGCAAAGGTTTACTTTAAAAGTATTCATTATCAAGGACAGATCATTCTTGCACTCTTGTTAATTGTCATTTTTACAGATTGGGTTCCGACGTTACAGCCGTTGAGTTTATGCCAACCATTGGAGGCATGGGTATCGACGGAGAGGTCAGTAAAACGATGCAGAAGGTTCTCGCTAAGCAGGGTCTGAAGTTCAAACTGGGAACCAAGGTCATGGCCGCTAAAAAAAGTGGCAGTGAAATCATCGTTTCCGTCGAGGACGCGAAGGATTCCAGTAAAAAAGAGGACATACCTTGCGACGTGTTGCTAGTGTGCGTAGGCAGGAGACCGTATACGCAGAATCTTGGTCTAGAGGATATGGGTATCGAGAGAGACGAAAAAGGAAGAATACCTGTAAACAACCGATTTCAGACGGTAGTACCTAAGTAAGTACGATATTTTGAGTTCGATATCGGCATTAAAGTGACACGTGTTTTTAATTTCCTCCTATATTCATGGTTGAATGATTTCGAAGATTTTAATTGTTATTTCACCATCAGTATCTATGCTATTGGAGATTGCATTCATGGACCAATGCTGGCTCATAAGGCCGAGGATGAGGGGATAATCACAGTGGAGGGTATCGCCGGAGGTAAATCATCGTTCACATCATAAATATATTTTTTTCTCATACTTTTGATCGTAAAAATATAAATCATTCTAATTTGCAATACAGGTGCGGTTCACATTGACTACAATTGCGTACCTAGTGTAATATACACGCATCCGGAAGTGGGTTGGGTCGGCAAAACGGAGGAAGATCTGAAGAAAGAGGGTATCGACTACAAGGTCGGCAAGTTTCCATTCATGGCAAACTCACGGGCGAAGACGAATCTGGACACAGACGGTTTTGCCAAAGTACTCGCTGACAACAATACGGATAAGATCCTGGGTGTACATATGATCGGGCCAAGCGCGGGCGAGCTCATCAACGAGGCGGTTCTCGCAATGGAATATGGCGCCAGTGCGGAAGACGTTGCCCGCGTATGCCACGCACATCCGGTAAGTATCTACAATTGATTTACGAAAGTTTTGCTAAAATTCCTTCGATTCTTTTTATATGTCTAGATAAATATCTCTATAGATATTCTATAAATTATATCTATAAATATCCATATTTATAAATATCTATAAATATTTATCGAGATATATAAAAAGAGTCAAAGAAATCTTAATCAAACTCTTTTGTATAAATCAAAATCTAAGAAAAAAAGCATTGAGAGCATATGTATGAATTAAAAATAATTCTTAATTATTATATTTGAATTTATATTTTTTGTTGAACTCAACTCTTTGAATTTAATGTAATTATTGAGGATGTAAAAAATCTAAATTACGTTTGTATACTTGTTTTACTTGTTATACTTTCTAATATGAATTTGTTTTACAGACATGTGCCGAGGCACTCAGAGAGGCTCATTTGGCAGCTTACTTTGGCAAACCCATCAATTTTTAAGTTATTATGGAGGATAAATAACTCATCACACTTATTAGTCCATATTTTCACTGTGCGCTTAGCGCTAAACGTGACTGTCCTGTTAACTTTACTGGAATATTACATGGTCAGACACGCTTAAGGTCCACATTGGATGTGCCATGGGAATGTGTGGTCTCTCCTGACGTCTCTCATCGTAGCCTTAATCTAGTCTACGTGTCAACGACATACATTGGGCGCATTGTCGCTTAATCGCATAAGGGATTGTAAATAAAAGTTTGAAACTATCATATGCAGAGGTAATCGTCAATTTACCCCTGCCAGGTGATTACTGTATTTATTATGAATAAACAAAAGCTGCGACATTATAATTGGACCTTCGAGTCCTTTATTTTAAAGGCAAATAAATTACGTAGCAAAACTAAATTTAAAATAAATTAGATTTTTAAATAAATTGTACTTACAAACGAGACAAGAAGATCGGTTTCAACGCCGCTGTTCGGATTACGAGTGAACTAAAATCAGTCACGTGACAAATAGAAGCGGGCATAAAAGAGGATAACCGATGTCGCGTCTTGTCCGATCTGTCGAGAGACCCTGTATACAGGGTCTCTGTAGCTGTCATTAGAGATCAAATTTTTTTTATTATTAACAAAGAGAGCGAATTGTTATTCAATGCGTCCGCAAACCTCAGGAATTAAACTCGAAATTTCATCGCTCATCGAAGTGACTACGTTAAATCTGAATCGTTAACCTCTCCGAATGCTTCAGTACAGGATTTGAGCAGAGTACGTTTTATTCCGATGGGAATATGAGGTTCGTAGCTACAATGTTTTTCTTCGAAAATAAGATTTATCTTAAGATAATATTTCCAGTTTTTCTTTACCTTTTCACGCGACTTTTAGCTAACCCCAAACATGAGCTACAACAAGAAGGTCGCATACTTTTACAACCCGGAGGTGGGTAACTTCCATTATGGACCCGGCCACCCTATGAAGCCCCATCGACTGTCCGTGATCCACAGCCTGGTGCTCAACTACGGCCTCCACAGGAAGATGCAGATCTACCGCCCGTATCGCGCCAGCACCCACGACATGTGTCGCTTCCATTCGGAGGACTACGTGGAGTTTTTGCAGCGCGTCACTCCGCAAAATCTCCAGGGCTATACCAAGTATCTGACGCATTTCAACGTGGGCGACGACTGCCCAGTGTTCGATGGCCTGTTCGACTTCTGCTCCATGTACACCGGAGCATCGTTAGACGGTGCCACCAAGTTGAACAACAACTGCTGCGACATCGCCGTGAACTGGAGCGGTGGTTTGCATCACGCTAAAAAATTCGAGGCGTCCGGTTTCTGCTACATCAACGATATAGTGATCGCTATTCTTGAATTGCTTAAGTATCGCGCCCGAGTATTGTATATCGACATCGACGTGCATCATGGAGACGGCGTGCAGGAAGCCTTCTACTTGACAGATCGTGTTATGACGGTGTCCTTTCACAAATACGGCAATTACTTCTTCCCCGGTACCGGCGATATGTACGAGATCGGCGCCGAGAGTGGTCGGTACTATTCGGTGAATGTTCCACTTAAGGAAGGAATTGACGATACTTCGTACATCCAGGTCTTCAAGCCCGTCATTTCCCACGTCATGGAGTTCTTTCAACCTACGGCGATTGTGCTTCAATGTGGTGCAGATTCCCTCGCGAACGATCGACTCGGTTGCTTCAGCCTCAGCACCAAGGGCCATGGCGAGTGCGTCAAGTTTGTGAGGGACTTGAATGTACCATTGTTGACTGTTGGCGGTGGTGGTTACACCTTGCGAAATGTTGCTAGATGCTGGACCTACGAGACGTCTCTACTCGTCGACGAACAGATTAGCAACGAGCTACCGTACACGGAATATTTGGAGTATTTCGCCCCGGACTTTAGCCTGCACCCCGAGGTCGTGACTAGACAGGATAATGCCAACAGTAAACAGTATTTGGAGGCAATCACGCGACACGTTTATGACAATCTCAAGATGATTCAGCATTCGCCGAGCGTGCAGATGCAGGACGTCCCGTGCGACGCGTTGCCGCCTGAGGAGGAGAGGCAACCAGAACCGGATCCGGACTCGCGACAGAATCCCCAGGACACAGACAAAATCGTTGAGCCTGCGAACGAGTATTACGCTGGTGACAAGGATCAGGACAAGTCAGATGCGAACGATTCGTGATAAAGACAGGCGCCAGAAGCTGTGAAGCTGCGAAGAAATATTCGATTCAACAGATCACGCGAGTGATAAATGCATTGATGAACTGCCATGAAAAATACTGGGAGCTAGTTTTTTTTATAATTAATTTCAGAATAGTTAGCTTAATTGAGAAAATATTGTTCAACGAACTTTTTCGAAACTTCTTATACATTAGACACGATCATGAATATTAAATGCAATATACCTGAGATTTTACACAGACATATAAGAGAATTGTACATATACAAATATTCATTTTGTAATAATAAAATATACATATTTTACTCAAATCTTGTATAAACTTTTAGTGAACGAATGCATCGAGTATGCAGTATGTGTATAAATAACGAAATGTGTTTATCCATTTATTAATCGAAGAAATGTATGATACTATATTTTAATTAAAATATTTGAATCTTTTAAATATCCATTAGGCAAGTTTATTGTTCTACATCAGACAGCGATATCCGTATTGTCTACAATAGTACAACAACGATGACAAGGACGATATTAATAGCGATAATAGTGTAATAATAATAATAATAATAGCAATAACGATAACGTCTGTATCTCTGTCTTGGGGCTATCTCGCTATATCACAGAGAATTTAATCTTCGTACGATATAAATTGTTTTTTTTTGTTTCTCCTTATCTGCCTGCAAAGTAGAAACGCAAAACGATTCTGCCATGGGAATACGGATGTGGAAGGGGAAGGGGAGTGAACTAAATGCGCGACTAATTACAATAAATTAGATTTCTTAAATTAAGGCGCTTTGTGTTCTGTACATTCGTATTTTGTAAACTCTACAAAAAGTCTTTTTCGAAAAATAATACATATATAAAAATACTCACGGTACGAGGAACGCAAATACTCGCGATTCGATTCGCTCTTTGCAGAAAAACGGTGCAAAAGACTACGATGCAGAGACAATGCGTGGTATATTCTTCGCAAACGCGTAGCGCTGAGTTTCGCCTGAACAACAGACTATTGCAAAAGACTATTCACGAAGCTTACAGTTATTTTTTTCTCTTTTACAAAATTCGCCGTCGTTTATATTCTTTACAAAGCGCGTGCGTATGCGTATATATGCATATATAATATATGTATAAAGTTTTCAGTCTCATAGTAACAGCAATTCCATTTGGTGTTTAGTTTTCCATCGAATTCTCTGCATATAACTTCAGCGGCTCTTACATTTTACGATTTTAAGAAACTATATACAGCGCGTACAACAAGGGGATATAATTAGTAGGCAGTGCTGATTCAGCGATCCTTGACAAATCTCCAGACAAATTTTCTTGTTTCTTTCCTTGTGTCCTATAACATTTGTTTGACTAGATGCTGTTGTTCTTTCTCATTCATCTCGCAATTCTAAGAGCATTCGATGGATACAGTTAGGACGTGTCTGACAGGCAACATAATGAGATTAATCAATTACGTCTCGAAATGCTTGTAAATGCTGGTCACGTACGTCATCACCTGTTGCCAATCAGGTCGCTCGAGTTGACACATTTCACCAATGTTCTGTGAAAAAAATTTTTTTTCATTAATCATTTCGCAATATTACAATGTGGCTACTCAAATTTGTAAAAAAAATTCTGTGAGAAATCCTGGATAATTTTCGTTTAAAATTTCAAATCAAATCAGCAAATTTATGAAAGCATTGATGCAGCTTTTTAAAAATTCCTTTATCATTATACGTTTTTAATGTTTTTTTTTTTTTTTTTTTTTTTTTCATACAATTGGAAAGTTATCAAGAGTGCAGTTTTTCTAACATTTATTAATTGTAAAATTAATTTAGACTAACAAAATGTGATATATCATTATATTTAAACGCTAATTTATTTAAATATTATCTATTAAAAAATTGAACAATCTTTTATTAATTTACATAAGATCTTGATACTGAAATAGATCGTCAATAAGAAAATCACATAAAATTTTAATTAAAACCTTAAAATTTTATTAAAAATTTAAATTGCAAAGATATGTTAAGAATTTTTTTTTAATCCCTTGAATATCAATCAAATTCCATGACAATTCCGATTTTTCAAAGTAAAACAAAATTTCCTGAGAATACCAGGTTTCCAAGATTTTTTCTGGGAGTATACACATGAATTTAGAAATAGTTTATCGATCAACTTACCAAAGTAGTAGGTATGCCGACACTCTCAGCAGCAGAGAAGGCAATCGAGAAGTTTCGCCGCTTTTCGACCGGCGTCAAGGTGTCGTATGGTACCTTGCGCGGCAAATAAGAGTGTAGAATCGCGCACAGCGCTAAGCCGTCATTCCAGGAACTGCTAAAGTTAGTTATGTCGATGTTCCGATAGCCTATTGTCTTGTTTTGACACCACTTGAGCAAGGCGTTACGCTTGGATCCGCCGTTTTTTACTAAACCGTATAAAGGATCCTTCCGCTCTGACAGATCGGTGACGCTATTTCGACGCACAAAATCAATTGCCTTGGCATTCAAGGCAGCCGAGTCCAACAGCTCGCCCGGACTTAAAACCACAGGCGTAGATTTTGTCTCTGTGTATTAAAAATTGCAATGCTCAATTAGACACGAAAAGTATTTCTTTTCTAAAATATATCTAAGGGTCTTCATGCTTCAATCTTTATATCGTACAAATGTTTTACGCTTGTGTAAAGCTTGAAAATTACCTGATACTGGTTTCTTTGCGATTGCAGATTGTGTTTTATTGTTGTTCGTCGAATTTGCCGTGCAGATTAAATTGTTGATCTGCTGTTGGTCCCTGAGTGGAGCCTTTAGAGATATAATATCTGTGGTTCCGATCGAATTAAGAGATGACGTAGAGCTGCTACGGCTTCCAGGTCCTAAACATGTGAAATGCCGTTTCTTCATCTTCAAGTCATTGCATCATCAATAGTTATTTTCATTTGAAAAATATTAAAAGAATTTTAATGAAAAAATCTAATTCAATGATGTAATAATATTAATATTTATTAGTAAATATTTTCATTTTTTTGCAATTTAAAGACATCATAAACAACATGTATTGACAATTGTAATTGTAATATTCTAAAATTGTATTGTACTCACCAGTTTTAGCCTGTTTCGTGGCATTCTCAATGCTCTCAATTAGACATTTCACAGAAAGCCTAGAGTCTTGACGCGAGATATTGGCCTTCCTACGAGCAGCAATCTCCTGCTGCACACTCGTCAACATAGATTGTTGAGTTTCCGTCGGTGTACTAGCTGGCCTTGGAGGCGGTTGTTGTATCACCTTCTGGTTAGCTGAAAGATTTTCAACTTGCTCGTTATACTCATCACGAATTGTCGCGTGCGATTAATCCCGAATAACAATAACAGAAGCGATAAGCCATAAAGTTTGTACATAAAATAAAGCGCAAGTGATTGATAATTAAAATACTTGGACTTTTAAATATTTGGATTTAAGGTTTTCGTAATGTACAATAGTTTGCACACTCGTACAAATTAATAAGATTTGAATAAGAACAAACAGATCGATGACAGAAACATAAATAAGCGAGTATATTGTAGCGTACAGAATTTGAGAAACACAAAGAAAGCCGGGTTAACAGTCAACCATGGGGACAACAATGTATAGTGGGCGATACAATGTGTAAATGCTAACGAAAGTACGAGTCTCTCGTATTCTTTGACTAAATCGAGGAGCCGGGACGGACAATGAAATCGAACTTCTGCGATACAAGCGTAGTCGTGATCCCCACACTAACAGAGCGACTTACGGTCGCAAGATTTGCTTATTCGCTGCGAGCACCTTCCCAACGGCGTCCTTAATTCGACGTCCTCCATAATCGTCTCAAATTTTTCTCTAAGGGATGACGTTCGTCCCATCGGCAGCGGTTGATCCTCACATCGATGCAAGTCCGAGTCAATGCTTTGCGACATCAAATGGCTCTTTCCGAAAGTAAGTTCAGCATTCGTCATGCAAAGCTTATTTTCGGATGGAGTTATTTTCTCATTTTGAGACTCGTCTTCGCTCGCAGTAGTCAGACTACCTTGCAAGAACTTCAAACGATTCACTCGTACACTATTTATTTCCCTTAAATTCGAGTCCTCCGATCTTTCTTTCTTACTGCACTTTGATCCGGTTTGTCCTTCTTGGTCAATTGAAGAATACTTGACCGTCTCCGAAATCTTTGTTTTATTTCCGGAATAAATTCCTTTTGACATCTGAGACAATGGGATAATCGAAATCGATGAAGGATATCTTGATGCAGACGAATTTTTCGAGGACGTCAACAATGGATACGATTTCCGCCTCATCAAAGGAGCATTTAACGTATCACTAAGACTCTTTCTTTTTTCTAATTTTAATGGATTTATATCGATTGCATTATTTTTATCAGACGAATCAAATATTTTCGATTCTTCAAGTGTATCGAAAATCTTTCCATTATCGGATGCAGGTTTCGTTGTAGTTTCTTCTCCGTCGATGATCACATGTTTTGCTGTCCACAATTGAGTATCGCGTAGTGTTTCTTGCTTTCCTATTTCGTTTCTCGAATGAGAAGCTTTCGACGGGAAAAATGTATAATTCTCATAAGGTAGAAACGATTCCACATGATTTTCAGTTTGTAATACTGCAGATGTTTTCGATTTTGAAGTTGTTTCATCTAAAAGAGAATCAATTATCTCGTACCTTGGTTTCGACTCGAATTGATTCAAAAATAGCTTCTGCCTTTGTTCAGTCTTATCGCCTTCTTTCGATCTTAGATTTACAAGCGATGTATCTGAAAGCGTTCTTAAATATTTGGGATTTGAATCTTTGTTGTATTGTCCTGTCAAATGATTATTCGATGTGATCAAAATTTCTGATGTCACCGCTGTATTGTCTAAAGACGACGGACCCGTTTCTATGTCGACTAAAGAAGATAAACTCGTATTGATCTGCGGGTTACTATAACTTCTCTGCAACAGCTTCCCCATTTCTGGATCGACCTCGAATTTCAAATCGTTCATCGCGCATTCCACGCCGGAAAATATGTAATCCTTCGGTACGAAAAATCGGCTGTTTGAAATATTAATGCCGTACGCGTCTCCGTCAGCGTTTTGAATGCCGCGGATACTTTTCAACAAGGAACTCTTGGCCATTGCTTCTTTATCCGACATGTTCGCGACGGTGATGTACAATTTCGGATAATCCTCCGTAATTATCGGCGATTTATCGGTCAAAGTCTTGTCCGATTCAAAGTTATCTAAATTTAGATAGAACTTTGAAGATTCGTTGCTCAAGATTTTCGCTTGTCTTGGATTCTCATTCACTGAACGCGCGTCTGTTTCATCCGAGACGTACTCGGTGCGTTGTCTGTCGATGCGAAAAGCAGGACACACTTCAATCTCCTCACCGGAAATGAGCTTGTCTTCAAATTTGATAGCCTTCTTGGCTGGTGTAACAACATCCCCGAGATTATTATCCGCCAAACCGAATCCATTCTGACACCGAGAGACGATGGCGTTAACGTCCTCAGGTTCTGGTTTATGTAAGTCCCGACTGCTTGTTGTCGCTTTACTGGATACGCTGTTTCGTGATGTGAGTTTTTTCGACTCGCAACGATTCTTTAGTATCGTTCGACCGCGTTTTAATATAATGCTCGCCGTTTTCCGTTTACTCCCGTTAGCGATATCAAGTGTTTTGCAGCTACTCACTGCAGTGCTATCTAGTACGCAGTCCGGATTAAGGAAACAGGAACAATTACGAAATTAATAGAAGAATATTATCGATAACTATGTAAAATATATTAAATAAAAAAGAAAAAATATAAACGTTTACTAATAAATTTGTTTTTTTTTTACATCGATAAATATTTTTCCTATTATATTTGTATCATAAAATTTTAACATTCTTTGTCTTTAGAAAAAAATATATTTTATGTATTAATATCATATGCAAAATATCCCGCTCATTTGCGATATGTGAAACAGTATCTTTTCAATTTTTCTGCTTCAAAATAAATCGGCAGGTTTTATTTACCTTTGTTAAGTTTATCGAGTTGTGCTTCCAGCGATCTGAGCTTATCCCTCTGCGCCTTGTTCTCCATGACTACGCGCTCGAGTTCACTCTGGGCTTCGGTCTTGAAGTCATTGGCAACTCGTACAGTCATTAACAAATCAGTCTGAAACTGCTCCCATTCCGCACTCTCTTCCTGCCTCAGCTTGCGCTCATCGGCCAACGCGCGCTCCAATTCGTACTGTCGCGTTTGCGCCTCACGTTCTCTTCGTTGTCCCTCGCTCAACGCTGCCTTCAGCTCCCGTTTGTCCTCCAGATGCCGTTGACACTGCGCTTGCAATTCCGCCAACGAATCTCGAACAAGTTGCAGTTCCGTGCTCACAGACAGTCGTTCGTCTTTCAGCTGATTAAGTCTGTATTCTAAATCATCTATAGCAGATTTCGCGTTGTTTCGAGCTACCTGAAAGTATATTTAAAAATAATACTTTTAATTTGCTTCCAATATAAATGTCCTCTTTTACATTTGCAAAGTTAAAGACCGAAAATTGATCGAAAAGCTTGTGTCTATTCTATACATATACAGAGCAGCAAACGTACTTTATATTCTTCCTGAAGTTGCGAGTACTGATCCCTTAATCGATCATGATCGCAATGCGATCGCGCCAACTGTTCCTGAAGTGCCGCCGCCTGCGTCTCTAATGTATCCTTTTCTCGTCTGGCCGCGTCTAGCAATTCGTCCGCTTCACTCTTATTCTCCAGCTGCCTCGATTGTTCTAGCTCCTCAATCTTCGCTCGCGCGTTCTCCAATAGGGTTGCCAATCTGCTGATCTCTATACTCCGATTTGCACTCTCCTGCCTAGCTTCCATCAACTCTATGTCTAACTGCTTCCGTTCGATATTCGTAGTATCCACCGACGCCTCTAATAATTCGACGCATTTCGTCAAACGTTCCGTCTCAACCGCACTAGCGTCACCAGTCGCCCTTAGATTTTTCAATTCGTTAGTCAACTCTTCCTGCTTTTGAAGTAAAGCTTCTCGTTCTTCTTGCGCACTCTGTAACCATCGTGTAATTAATTAGTAACAAATAATTAACTAATTAGCATTTCGCATCGTATAATAAATTTAGCTGCACTTACTTTTAACAGATCTACTAGTTTTTGCTCCCTTTCTGTATTGTAGCCCTTGGATGCTTCCTGTGGTTGCTCATCCCTCAAAAGCAGCTCTTGTAAAGTATCAACCTTAGTTCGACATTCTTCCAATTTCTGTGTCTGACGACACAGTGACTCCAAAAGAACCGACTTCTCTTCATTTAATCTTTCATTATCATTTTGCAAGTCTACTAGTTGCGCCTATGTAAACAACCATTAATTTGTTAGAGGCTATTATCATTTCCCAGACAACATTATTAACATTCTTTTCAATATTGATAAGTAAAAGCGAACCTGTAAGTCACTTAATTCTTGAATAGTCGCCTGCAGTTCTTCATTTGTAGAATAATGTGTTTCCTCCATCTGTAAAATTCTGTCCTGCAAACACGCAACTGAAACCTCTGACATTGAGCTGGAGGAGTGCTTGTCCCAGTCTGGGGTGGTGCACTGAGCTCCTTCCTGAGATACATTGGTATTGTTTGCGGAACCGTCATCTTGGGGAATGGCGATAGATGCTGGTGCAGAATTGTGGAGTCTCGAAGCGTCCAACAACAGCTGCTGTTTCTCTGAATCTGACAGCGGAGAATGTGCCACGTCCCTGAGACGAGCACGAAGAGCTTCGTTTTCCTCGGTAAGACGTTCTAGCTCCAGGCTATGCTGCTCCTAGGTATCAAAACCACAAATACATGCAAATTAATACCTTATAAACCCTCATAAACGTAAAACAATTTAAGAAGATATGCAAAATATGCAAAGCAAAATCTAGCTTGATCAAGACTATCGTTCTATATCCACAGTCATTTAATTACGACTCTATTTATAGTATAAACAAAATTAAGTCGTAACATACACACGCATAAATCCCATTATAAATTCATGTCACACACTCCAGACTAGAGAGACTCGTATACAGAAAAAATCGCGTATCCAAAAAAAGTGTTATTCTAAAAGAAACGTCACAATCATAACATTCGTCTTGTTTGGGAATCCAGAGCGAAGGACGCTCCAATCTTCGATACGATGCCTCATAACCATCCAGCCAGGGGACTGAAGGGGGAGGGAGAGAGGGTTCGAGGTTAGAATCTACGCGTACGATCGCGCCGGCAAATCGGAGCTCGCGGTCCCGAGTGACACAAAGACACCGCGCGATTTGTTTACGGCGTGCTCGAGAACGAGCGGGATTTACCGTGGGCGACGAGAAGCAACGCTTCTTCATGTCGGATCCGCTCGGCTTCCCCGGCTCTCTTCCTACGTAAACATCCCCGCCGCGTTCTACGCCCTCTGGTTCCGTTTTCGTGCGAAAATCACTCTTCTCCGGTCTCTGTCTCTCTTTATCGCTCTCGCGCCTTCTCTGTTTCTCTAACGCTCTGTAACGGTTACGTCGGTTACACGAGTTCTCTGAAAGAACTGGGGGAAAAACCGATACGTTTTTCGACGTTGAGGAAAAAATCCCAAAGAAGATCCCCACGTTTACTCGCGAAGACGGAAATAAAATTATATCGACGTGAATCTTTACGTTTTCCCGCGCCTACAGACTTTAATAAAGCGAGATTATATAACGGAAAGGATTTTATAATCCTTGAGCTTGTAACGATCGTAGTAGATGGGGAAGGAATATATAAACAGCAAGAGGGTGCATTCCTGCGGAACAGTTTCGTGGGGCTGGCATTTATTCGGGACAGCAATTGTGAGGATTGTCGAAGAAATATAAAAATGCGCGGATAAAAAAATCCGAAATATAATTAAAGACCGACTTTTATATATACTATTATAACAATAGTCTTCAAAACATTTTTACATCAAGAATAAAGACGAATTTTTTTTTAAGAATTCAATATTTCAATTTCTCTTAACATAAAGACTCGGAAATTGCTGAAATTAAAAATTGCTAAAATGAAAAAATCGTAAAAGAAAATTAAATTTTTTGATTAAAAAATATTGACATAAAATGTGAAATATAAAATTGATTATTCTTCTATAAATATATAAATTATAAAATATAAATTTGATTTCTTTTTCTACACAAGTATATGAATTTTAGAATACTTTGTACTCATCTCTAACTAAGAATATTTTTATCGGATAGAATAACATATGTTTTGTCGGATCGATCTATTTAAGTGCAATTTAGATGCAAAGAGGATATTTTTACAGCCGCTCCTTCTCGATTGTATCTTACGTTGTCTTCCTTGTACGGTCGCAAAAACGCAAAGAAGAGAGAGAAGAGGGGACACATGGCGTAGGTATACACGTGCAGCACGATGCATATTTAAGAGGGGAAGGGAAGAATTAATGCAAGGCGTCAACTGCAGATGAATCAGAACGATATCGCGTCGCGATGTAATTTATTCATCGAGTACATTTTGCGACGCAATCGTTAAAACGCTTTGCATTCTAAACGTCAGTATATCTTTAAGGTGACACAATGATAAAAAATTTGCTGACTTGAGTCTTTCAACTAAATTACTATTTTGTCGATTGAACATATATTAATATTTAAGTTAAGAATAGATTTGCTAGATTTAAAATCTTATATTTAATTTAAACATTTTTTATGTTTAATTAACAAAATAATATTTAGTTGAAAGGCTCAGTCAAGTTAATAAATCCTTTTTTCAGTATTTATTAATAAAGATGCGAAATATTTCACTTGAATAATTCTAAGAAACCTGGCTGGAATGTGCATTTTTATTTTTTGATCCAATAAATCAGAGCAATCGATACGCTAATCGATTTAAATAGAAGCAGCAAATTTAAAATTCTGCTATGAATGATTGGAACGTGAAATAATAAATGTCAACATTTAATGAAAAATATCAGTTCTTTACAAATCAATGAATTCTTGATTTTATAATTACATTGAGATTATTTAGAATAAAATTATAATAAAAGATCGACCAATGTTTCATCTATATTATATAAATAAAATTATTATATAAATGAAGTTATTTAATAGTAAATTTTTAAACGTCTTCGTTTAAAATCTATGATATTATATATTATAACTGTATAAAATTATAATAAAAGCATCTAGGTATCACGTCAGAAATAGATATACAGTTGGCCCCAAAGCGTAAAATGAGAAGGACACAAGCGAGATATTATTCATCACAAACACCGAATTATATGGAAACGGTATGTGCGTTTATTTATATCAGTCGAGTTTTCGCTTCTCATAACTACAAGAAATTCTTCGCATTCTTTCGTCATAAGAATTTATAAACTATAATTGACCCATTTAAAGAATGTTTACTAAAATAAAAACTTATGAAATATATATACATATTTATAATTAGATATTTTTCCAATTATTTTGTATTCAATTGCTTGAAAAATCGACTTTAATGAAACAACGTTAATGAAAGAGATAGCAAAGGTGATTAATAACAAAGATGAAGAAATTGTATACGTATACATCTTGATTCAAGTGATTTGATATTGAGAAAGAGATACGATCGTGATATAAAAGCTCATACAAGCGCGAATGTAATAGAATCTCTCAAAGAAATAAAATGTAATCACCGCATATCAATAATTAAGATATATTGCGCCAGAATGAGCACAAAAATTCTTGATTATGATCCACAGATAATACGTATACTATTAAAGTCTTATTAAAAAAAATTATTAAATTTATTATAATAAATACTGTTATACCAAAACATAAATTTATATACTACTACAAACAATTGTAATTAAACACATATATATATATAAAGTGTGCGAATAACCGGTTAAGAATGCGAAAAAATTTGTAACACAGAACCTAGATATTTTTTATTATACTGACATATTTATTATTTCACGTTTCAATTATTTATAGTAGAAGAATATCTTTCTTATATAAATCTACTGTCTCTATTTATAAATTGATTAGCGTATCGATTGCTCTGATTTATTGGATCATATAAAATTGCACATTCCAGCCAGGCCTCTTAGAAATAACTTAATTTTTTATAAGGAACGGCATCGTATACTTTCTACAGTAAATATTAAACCCTTAAATCAAATATGTTTCACTTTTTCCAAATGTTTTTCAGTTAATTGTTGCACCCTGATATTTTTTTCTTTGTTAAGTTTTTATTCTCAAATATTTGTTTAAATATTTATCTGTATCGTTGCTGATGTTAAGTAATTCGTAATCAAATACGCTATTGTGTATTCACAGAGAGAATTTTCTCTTAGAATTTACCTTAAAATATCTACCACAATAAGATATAAAATATGTTCGCTTAATTTTACTATGTACATATTAATATTTTTTATTGTGGTACGAATATTAATCAGAGAAACTTGAAAAATTCTTCCAATACCATATTGTCCCACGATTACCATGATAAGAGAAATATCTCTCCGTGTATTAAAGAACGATCTCTTTCCAGTTTACATTATTAAATAAATCAAATAAATAAAAAAGAAGTCTTTCGATATCATCGAAAGAATCATTCTTTAATACAATATAGAAAAATAGTTCTTTATCAGAAATCGACTAAAAATAATTCTTCGAATTCGGTTCGACAAGTAATGCCGGCTTACCTTGAGGGAGACCAACTCGGCTCTTAGCTCGCGCAGATTCTGAGCATCGGACATCGCGTCGCGCAGATTCGCCTCGAGACGCGCGCGATCCTTGCGCAGGCCCTCGATCTCGCGCTCCAGGTCCTGCATCCTGGAGGCCTTGGCCGGGCCCTTGGAGGTCGTCGTCGTCGGCGCCTTGGATCTGGCCGGCTCCTTGCTGCCCAGGGAGCCGGCCCAGGTGTTCCCGGTCGACGGGACGTCGCTCTTCGCCTCCAGCGAGGAGGCGCTCGACGCCTGACGCAGCGGCGCCGATTGCTGCTGCTGCGCCGATTGCTGGCTGGGCTGTCCTCTGCGAAACAGCGATTTGAACTTCATCATGGTCACTCGACTGATCACCGGGTATCTCGAAGGACCGTTTCTCGCGAGGAAGAGAGAAAGTTCGAGGGAAACGTAAATGAGTGATTTTTTTCTTTTTTTTTTTTTTTTTAGTTTATCCGAATCTCGTCCACGAGGAGAAGCGACTAGGCAGCCTGCGACCTGGAACGACCCTCGCCGTCAACGGACGATGACATCGTTCTTGCTGTTCCCGTTAGCGAGCTCGCTTCGAGGACTCGGACGAGGAAGAGAACGAGCGCATCATTCCTGTCATCCTGTCATTGCGCCTCCCTTCGAAGGCTAATTGCTGTTAGGTCACGAACACGAATCGACGACTTCGCGGATCGCTGGATAATCGCGTCTCCCGATTATATTCTCGCGGAAGGACACGAAGAGTCGACGTGAGACGAGAGATTCATCCTTGAGATTGAACGAGGAATCCTGACGGAGGCCCCGATTATGTGATTACGATATCAGTTAACAGTATCCTTCGAATAATATTATATATATATATTTTTTTTTAAGCATCCTTTAATAACTTTTTAAATGTCAAATTGTGTAAATAATATATTTAACAATATATTTCAATGATCACACTTTGTGATTATATAAAGAATAAAATTTGCGACGAGATTTCTTCAAGTTTCAAGACACATCCGACAGTTTCGATGCACTCGAGCGTAGCTTTGCTTAGAAGGCTTTTATCGTTGCTCCAGATAGGAATTAATCCGTATCCACGCGATTAGTTTATTTGACAAGGGCAATTGCGAAATCGCGTAACGAGAGCTTCTCGACTTTAAGGCGCATTTAATCTCGAAAATTTATTAAAATAGAAATGTGAATAATTTAATCGATATTTTTGGAATTAGTTTCTAAAGAGATTCGGAAAGAAAATAGAGTTTCTCTAAATTCGTTCGAGAGATCCGATGCACTTTCAATGCGTTCGATAACACATAATTCACTATTGTCAATTTAGTCAATTAATTAATCCCCCATAAATTCCTCTGAAAGGCAACCGCAAAATTCATATCGAGTTGCTCGATCACTCAAATTCCAATGCACTTTCAAAATGCATTTAAGGCACATAATCTTAACTCAATTCTTTCTTCAAAAATCACCAAACCCGGTCGAATAATTCAACGCGATTCGAGCACAAATATCAGGATAAATAATGTCAATCACACAGATATCTAATTTCTCACAAACAGTCTCAATTCATTCCATCTACACGAATCTAAAAAAAAAAACGTACTCGTTAAATTCTCACATCGTCCCATCTTAGAATACATTCAGATGTATCTTTCGCGATGCGTTCAGCCTCTAAATAATTAATTTCGACATCGAGAATTTCACCGAACAGCATCTTTAGCAGCGTTTTAAGATCGCAAAGTTCCGTTCGTTCCTGAAGCCGGTCATCTCCAGAACAAGGACTTCTCTCTTTCTCATTCAAGACACACTATAACGATGGCGACGTGGACGAACAATCATCGCATCGAGTGATCCTTCCTCGTCCAGGAACTCGAAGATTCGATCTCGAGCCTAACTTTTTAGAGTCCTTGCTCCGTCTTTCCCTTCGGAAATGACCTCTTCGGAGGCTGAAGAGAAGCCTCGTGAATCTCGGCAGCCACTTGTTGCTTTCCGTCTGGTCCAAGAAGGACGCGAGAGAACGACCGAGTGACGCTGACTCAAGGATCTCCAAGGACGATTCAAGGCACGACGGGCGGCTCCAGGAATGTTCTCGAGAACAATCGAGATTTAACACAAAGCGAGAAGGGTCCTTTGTCACCTATGTACACTCGAAAACGTATATATAACGTTCTGTTCCGGCGGGAATAAATTTTTCGTCCCGACGACGATCACGCGGAAAATCGTCCTTGACAAGAATGTCGGAAATTCGGTTATCCGATCACCGGAGCACACCAAAAACGACGCATACCTTACGACGGTGCATCGAATACTGAATACGCGAGCCGACAGTCTCCCCCCCTTTTTCTCTTCTTCCTCCCCTCTATAATTCTACCTTGGCCCCCTTCTCTTCATCTTCCCGACCAAGGCTTTTCTTAGGCGGCCGCTTCTCGCTGGACCCCGAAGGGCCAACGAGTTGTAAATGCAACCAGAGGTCGTACTCGGGCCGCATTCGTCGGCCATTGAGGAATTCTCCTCGTCGTGAATTCCCTCGTGATCCCTCGCGTCGCTCTTTTTAAAGAACATAATTGTAGATTACTTTAAACTTATCCGCGCGCTATTCAGCCCGAGGATATTTTACGTTCGGAATAGGCCCGAGACGATGGTCAAACTTAATTAGATTCCGAGAAAAAATCGGGATAATGTTTTCAATTATAAATACACGTGTGCGTAATTAATAGTAAATATTTGAGACACGAAATATAAATTTCTGCTGTCTTGCTGTATTAATCAATGTAAGCTCATTAGGATATAACGAGCAGATATTATTTTCTTTGTCGAAAATTAAAATTATTTTTTTTTCTATCAAAATTTAATACATGTTTTTTCTAATTCTATGGTCAACAAGTTTAACAAGTCAAGATTTCATTGAAGAAGAATAAAATGTTCTCGCTTACAATCTCGAAGTATTCGTGCATAAATATTTTTAAACAAAATATTATTTCAGGATTGAACAGCTGATCGAGTACGTGAAGAACACTATTACTATAAATACCTTCTAAACGATTGATCTTTCAACATTTTGGACTACTCCAAAATAAGATTTAATAGAACCAAAATATTCATAATAAATTCAATTGTCATTTAAAATATCGACTTGTTAAATTAATTGTCAGCAATGTGCTGCATAGATATACAAGATATGGTTAGAGTTAAAATAAATCGTGGTAAATAAGATGTTCTGAAAAGTTTTCATGCCTAAATATTTTTAAACAAAACATTACTTCAATATTGAACAGCTGATCAAGTACATGAAAAAAACTTATTATCAAGCACCTTCCAAATTATCAATATTTTGAGCAGCTTCAAAATAAGATTTAATCAAACCAAAATATTCACAATAAATTCAATTGTCATTTGAAATATCAACTTGCTAAATTAATTGTCAACACCGTGCTGCATAAGATATACTAAGAGTTAATATAAACCGATCGTGGTAAATAAAATATTTTCGCTTACAATCTCGAAGTGTTTTCGTGCCTAAATATTTTTAAACAAAATATTCAATATTGAATAGCTGATTAACTATATAAAAAAGCCTATTATCAAACACCTTCCAAAATATCAATATTTCGGACTGCTTCAAAATAAGATTCAATCGAACCAAAATATTCATATATTAATAAATTCAATCGTCATTTGAAATATTGACTTGTTAAATTAATTGTCGGTACTGTGCTGCACAGATACAAGATATGGGAAGAGTTAAGATAAGCCGATCGTGGTAATGACAGATTAGCGATCTTCTAGCGGTCGACTGCCCTTCGATCACTCGGAATCGCATTGATTTTCGATCAGAAAAGAAAGAGAAAAAAGAGATAATTATCCGGACGAGAGCCGATGGTACGAAAGAGAGAGAGAGAGACAGGCATTATTGGGCTCTTGGGAACGAGTACGCGTCTCGTCGCCGTCGAAGATGGCACGAGAAGAGAAGGGAGGAGAGAAACAGAGAGAAGCTGCTTAAGGAGGCCACACGGAATCCGCAGACGTCTCACCGGTCGACCAGTTTTCTCATACGGTCGACATATGGTATGTACCCGGTGGCTGAAAGGTCTCCTTCTCGCCGCGCGATTTCAAGTAGATACTTAAAAACAAGCAGCTAGCTTTCTTTATACCTACTTGTATTCTTTGCTATTTGTATAACTAGACAACTTATATATAGTTACTTATCGAGAAAAAACCGGGATTCGTACTTGGATCTCTGCTTCTTTTATCACTCTCTTAACTATTTTTTTTTTTTTAATGAAATGGAATAATTTAAAATAAATGGCTAAATTTGTATATGTTTCTAACAATTTTTTGGTAATAAGTTTATGTAATTTTGTACCCAAGAATATATTTTTAACACCATCGAATGGAACTCGTCAAGGAGCAGAATAGAACGTGGTATGCTCGAGACATCAAATCTCTTCGTCACTCGTTAAACAGTTGAATGACAAGCAGATATTGTTATCAAATGTGCTTGGCCTTTATCAATGTTATAAAAGCATTTACGATATTGTTCGTGACTATCAGTGCTATTCAATAGTGTTACGGATCTCCGAGCTTCGTCAAGATGATTTATGAATAAGAAATTAAATTCAATTAAAATTGGCAAGCCTTAATTTTCACATTTTAATTCTGACTATCATTCAAGTCGTCCTTTGCATAAACCAGATTGAAAAAATGTATGAGACAAATCATTGAAAATAATATATTTCGAAAAGAATTATTAACACGAGTAATCTCGTTATCAATAATTGGCAAAAAAAAAATACTTGGGATTTTGATTTTCGGTGGAATTTACTTTTTTCATATGTTATGTAGCTTATGCTTTGCTGAACAAAAAATGTAATAGCCTCAACGTTAAGTCAAACAACTTGTAGAATCCACAAGTTTTTCGTATTTGACTGCCTGTAATCAGTTTTATTTAGCTTTGAGCCTATTACATTTTTGTCATAAGCTACAACATATGAGCTAATCTTTGAAGATTTAATTTTGATTAATACAAGGTTTTTGAACCTATATAAAATCCTAGATAAATCAGCTGATTTTCTTATAGGCTGTAACTTACGACTTACTGAACAAAAAATGTAATAATCACAAAAATTAATAGATGATTACAGCCAGTCAAATATGAAAAATTAGGACTTTGCGAGTTGTTTGACAGGATGTAACTCAGTAACTGTCGAATATTTAGTTGTTACACAACAAATAAAAAAACCAGCGAATTCCACCGAAAGCTAAAATCCTACGTATATTTGGTGCGAAGTCCTTTATATTTTATGAAATTCTCAATTTATAAGGAGA